GCGTTCTTAGATTTTTTGAGAAGTACAATTTAGAATGAAATAACAAGCAGAATAAAATTAAAAAGGTATAAGATATTTTAGGTGATATATATATTATACATATATGTATATATATTAAAGCAACGAATAGTTAACTATAAATATACACTTTTTAATAATGATGATTGATAAACATTTAATGTATTTTTAATATGAGCAAACTAATTGTTCAATAAATTATAATTGTGTTAGTAAGATTAATACGTTTACTGGAATTTAATGATTAGTAAATTAACTTTTATTTTAATGTGGCTGGTGAAGTGAGATAATCGACAGGCGGTTCTAAATTATTAGATTAAATATTGAACTCTAAACTCATGTTAATTGAGTTGCTAAATTAATGTACTTGCATTCAATCTGTAGGTTCATAATATTATGTATATATACATAGCTATATATATATATATATATATTTACTCTATGTCAACGGGAGTTTGATTTATATTAGTTCTAAGCGAATGGGATGATTAACTATACTCCACGTATTATGCGTTTGTGTGATTGTAACTGTCCAACTATACATTTAGCAATACGTTTTTAAGTTTTATTTTTTTTTAAATAATTTAATATATATATACATAGATTAGTATATTTATTTTCATGTTAAACTATTCATATATAAATGATTTTAATAGTTGTCTTTCCTTTGAATTCAATGTTTGATGTAACAGTGAAAAATTATTGTGATATTAGTTCAATGTATAATATTATTGATAAAGTAATTTGCTAATACGTTCTTTAACATTATTTAATTTCAATGTTTTCTTGCATCTACATTTGTGTAAATGAAGTTAATTGCATTGGTGTATGTACGCTTTTTTTAGATTATTACTTATTTAATAATAAGATAATTTATTAAATATTCAACCTTTCACAAATTAAAGTAAATATTTGAACGGGCAATAATTTATAATTATAAGGTATCGATATAATACTATAAAGGAATAAGGATTTGCTAGCTGCAAATTTATTCCAATTTTTGATTTTCCTTAATTAATAGTATAAGACATTATTCTAATAATTGTTATTTTATATGTAGGTGCATTTAAATAAAGTAAAGTGATAGTATTAGAATTCATACAAATATGATAACATGACATCGAAGGTGGACAATATAAATTCATTTTCATAAGTATATCTCTGTTGTGCAATGAGATAGTATCCGATAAGTATGGTAGAAATAATATTATGCTGCCAACATAAGAAATAAAAATATTATTGTAACACGGCGTTCTAGGTAGGCTTTTCGGGTACATCGCTGTCGTGTGGTCTGTTTTCTCGAAACGTTACAAAGTATGATATTAGTACCTAAGCATAATTGTGGCGAATTTCGTACATTATTATAATATATTGTAATATTATGTCTATAACGAAATTTAAGGTAACGCAGAATGAAGTATTAACAATTATTATTATTTTAAGAACAGCATTTTGATTTAAATTATTATTTATAAATATTTAACATGTAATTTATAAAATAGTTCTATTGAAATGTACCTAGCAATATCCAACTAATTATTGTTGAATGTCATCATCATATATCATCTTTATAAAATCAACTACCGACTTTCCATCTATGTTTGCATACTAGAAATTATTCGAATGCAGTTATAAGTCATAAGTTATACCTGTAGATCAATAGTATTAACGTTCCTTATTAAACATTAATAAACGATGGCAGCAGAGGAGTAGTAGTGTTCACACAGATCCTCCTCTGCTGTCGGTTCAAACGAAAAAAAAAAAAAAAAGTCATTACTTAAAAAAATATAACTATTTTAAAGTTGTTCGTTTATTTTATTTTTATCAAGAACACCGTTGAATGTTTATATTTAGTCATAAAGCAAAACTATGAATGATCACAAACTTTTCTCAGATTATTCTTAAATAACAACACGACTAACACAAGTTATGTCTTATACAATTTGTATTGCAACACTTTGTAATTATATAGCATTGTACACTTAATGACCAAATTGACTTTGTATTAATAACATTCAAAGACTTTTTAATTGAGTATAAAAAAGATCATTATGTTCATATTAAGTAAATCATTTTTAAATCTTTGGTAAACAGTTTTTAATTTATGTTATTAGCGTTATGTTATTATTATCACAATATTATACTATAAACTAAACTTTAAAATAATATTAATTTAAACTATTATCGATGTTCATTATTTTTATTGGCTATTACCTGATCATTAGAAATTAAAAAATAAAATTAATACTTTGGATTAAGAAACAAAAATAAAAAATGTACACACAATTTAATAACTTGTTGTTTTTTTTAAGGTCAACTAATGTTAATACTTTAAATGTTAATTACAAAGTTTTTTTTTATCTTGAAATTAAATTTTAATTATTATTATTGCCATCTATAGAAATGGTTTTAAATAAAGTGTATTTTCGAAAATCTGTATTGTTATAATAATTGATTATAGTCGGATAACAATGGCAATTTTAATCTAATTATATTAAAATATGGGTTGTAATTTGTTTTATCTGAAAAAAAATTTGAAGAATAATGTATAATATATATAACATTTTTATTTTAAATGTTTTTTAATACAGTGACCTTGAATTGAAATAAGGTTTTCGGGAGGAGCTAGGGAATACTGATGTACACATTTTATGACGATTTAAAATTGTTTAGATCTTCCATTGTGTGTATCATACACAATTAAACTTGGAAACTTTTAAATGGAATACGTATTTTTAACACAAGATTTGGATAGACCGAATTCGTTTTGGTCATTTTGACTATAACCATATCTCTTAAATTAAAATTGTCTGAACTACAACCAGTTCAAATTAGGTTAAAAATACGTGGAACAGCTCTAGAATTTAAAAACTTCAGAAAATATTATATACTATAGTATTGTTTATCTCCTGCCTAAAACCCCATTTCAATCCGAGGTCACTGGACAAAAGTATTTTGTGTAACTTTTTAAAGGAAACACACTGTATAAAGAGATACCTACCTACCTTTATAATATAATATTTATGTGTGTTTTTTACTTTCAGATTAATGGATATTATTACTGATCGCATTTGCTTTTAGTATTTCTGTAAATCTGATTTGTTAAGAGAACGTTTTTCTTTGAAGAAAATTTGAGACAAAAAGATTATTTCATAATTTCAATTCTGTGTTGAGCCAAAGAACTACCTATTGGATCATACATTGATTGAACGTCAAAGAAAAAAAAATGGGTAAGTGGATGTCGCTCTGCTGTACATTAGGTGTCTAGAAGGTCGCTGTAATGGATGGTTTGAATTTGAATTCAATGATATAATATCATTGTATACGAAAAACGATTCTAAGCTAAGACGGTATGTAAGTCTAGGATATTTTATATTGTTATTACTTATCATTAAAACTGTTGCCGGTAAGTTGAATTAATAGTATTCGTAAGGTGGCTGGAGCGTGGCGTGTCTTAAGGAATAATAATTAGGCATTTCATGTAGCAATTATATTTGACCTATGTTACTGTGTGAAAAGTAAATGAATGTTAGTATGTGTAATTCGTAAAATTCGTTATCGAGTACCGGGCATCGATGGCTCACCGCCTGAATGTAAGTTTCCGCATGCTTAAGTACATGCCAATGATACAGATTTTATCAAATAAACGCCATGCTATTCAAATGCCAAAAAGCCAAAAAGCTAGACAAAACGCTTTTCATAGACATATTAATCCAAAAAATACTAATTATAATCGAAAATTGTATATGCCTATAAATAGTTTAACAAGAGTCATTAGAGACAGATTTTGAAAATTTTATGGTGTATAGTAGAAAATGCTAATATAAATATTCAGTGAAAATGCCATGTATCTATAGTCATCTATGTAATTTATGGTCATTTGTTTAGAGTGACAATAAAAACCAAAATCGATTTTTTTCAAAAACTAGTTTTGATTAAAAATTCCGGGTTTTCCTTAATTTTTTGTTTCTTTTTCTTGTCGCTTTTGAAAACTATTAGGCATTTCCGAATTTTGACCTCCCGAATGCACCAACTCGATTCACTTTCCAACCAGAAAAGTTGCTGTTAAAGAAAATCGAAGCACTTTTACTGCCCCAAACCATGATGAGAGACAAAAAAAAAAAAAAAAAAATTTAAAAAAACACACATCATTGTAAAATTAATACATTCATCGCTTTGTCAGAAATCTAAAAAGTGAACTTGAAAAAAAGTTTTCGTTAAAAGTATATTTTGAAAATATTATATGAACACGAATAATCCATTAATATTAATATTGGAATGTATAGTTATATTATAAGAATGAGATTATTTATTTTTTGTAACTTATGGTTATGAGTATTAGGTATTTAAAAATTAATTATTAAACGAAAATAGCTTATTGAGATTTTAACAGATTATATTTTATTGGAATTTTATAATTCTGCATCTAAAATTGTTATTGTGTTGATAAGTCAAGAAACACCAACACACGATAAATCACAAAAAAATAAAAATTAAAAACATTTTAATAGAAAATTTTGATTTAATTTGATCACATATTTCTTGTATTCCAAGTTGTATCAAAAATTTATATAAGACATGGGTGCATTACAATTTACGAGTATGTTTGATAAAATATGTAAATTGTTTTGGCTAAATCTAATAATTATACTCGTATATTTCAAATTAATGTAAATACATAAAGAATGTGTTTCTTTATTATGATGGTCATTGCTTGAATATAATATAGCAACGTATAATATATCATCTCTATATTTATTATTCAAACATATATAACTAATCGTTTTAATTTTTGTAATTAGATTAAATAAGTCAATGATTGCGGCGTTAATATTTCAAATTTAGTATGTAAATATTATTTAAAACTAACAATATTATGTTCACCTGATATCAACTAAATATAATTATTTTCGAGTTTAAATCAATTTTAATAAATAATTGTTATATTAAAAATGTCAGTAAACCGGTTTTGGTAACAGTACCTGTTTGTTAGCCCACGTGTAGGCAAACCATCTGATGACTCTTGCCTCTAGCTCTTTGGAAACCCTCCGGAAGGCCATGTACTGTTTGACACCATCCATGCGATTCTGGAATTCTACCCTGGCCACATTCATGTTGCTGATCATACTGCCTATATTTCCTACGATCGTGGCGAAAATGAGCACACCGGCAAGGAAATCGGCCACCACGAACACGTGTTCCAGTTCGTTTTCCGGCTGCGGTGTCTCTCCTGCAAAACCGATGATTATTACCTTAAGTTATTTCCCGAAATGCGATGTTTTAAGCTCATAAACTTCAACCGAGATAGGTTTTTACAAATAGATGTATACTATATATATACAAACACACATACAAATAGAAAGAAGGAGAGTGGAGAAAGATAGAGAGAAATATAGCATCGGATTAAAGTGCATAGTAGTACAGTGTTTTAGTTTGGACGAAAACCACACTTTATCCCACTAAAGCGTGAAAGGAAGTGATAAAGCTGTAGGTACGGTTATTTTTCTTGTGGTCCAATAGTCGTTTAACTTTAATCCCCCTCCCATCGATACTCTTATTTGAGTAGGTACACCGGGCCACATTTATGTGGGCTAAAAAAATAAGCGACAACAATCGACCAACGGGAATACACAACAAATCCTTACATCGATTTTATGTAACAAAGCAAACCTCTTTAGACGGTCCACTAGAAACTTGATGTAGGTTTTGGCGTTTGTTGTTTGTATAAGAAATAAAGGAACACAAAAGTTAAAATTTAATTAAGTCGGTAACTTTTTCAATGAAATTGTTAGTTTTACTTCGGTATTGATTCTCATTACAGCATAATATTATTATGAAATGTGCAAATAACATAAATCATCAGCGAAAGTTTTAACTAAATTGATTAGAGAAAATGTATGACTTGTAAGGTTTACGAAAATATTTTATGTAACTAATATCGACATTAATCAATACTATATCGGTTTAATACTGGAAAATTATTTTCCACAGATTTGAATTACTGAGATTAAAATACTTTACTCGATGGATGAAATGTTGCTATATAATTAATCTAAAAATAAGAATAACAAATTAGGTATTTAAATATCTATTTTAAATGCACGTTACCTACCTACTCGGTAAAAATACCTTACAAAAAACATTTGTTTTTTTCGACTAAAAAATTAATCAGGTTTAAAACGAATTTTAAGAAATACATATGACTTGGGTTGACATAACTAACCTTTATGAAAAAAAATATGCGTAAGAGTAAAATATTGTTCTAGTTGTAATAAATTTTAATCAGGGAGTTACTGTTCTAAAATTATCATAGTATAATATAATACTGTCCAGTGTCGGTATGTCCCAGTAATTTTAAATGGCTCCAAAGGCTCTAAAAACTTAGACATTTATTTGAACAGCCTTTTAATATATGTCTAAAAAATTATTTTAGTTTTAATTAAAAAACAATTTAATGCATTAAAATAATTTGATGTGATAATAACTACGGGTAGGCCGGACCAGTGTCGATTATATTATTAATTATTCATTACGATATTTTATATTGATATTTAATGTACCGCGTTTTTAAGGGTAGCTATATTGAAAATATTTCAAATTTTCAATCTCTGTCAAATTGAATGAGTGTCGTTGAACGGCGCAAGTAGACCGTATATAATGAGCACTGTGTTGGATTTCAGAGACACATTGTGGACGAACAGTAGGTAAGTGCAACATTCTCTCATCCGTTCGCGTGTAGCTCGAATAAATACACGTAATGTAAATAATAAACGTTTTTATACCGTATACGGAGGGTCGGTGCGTAGTCCAGAAAACAGCAATAACTGTGTAATATTTTGTTGACCGAAAAAAAAAATGTCCTGTTTTTTTTCATCGCTCGCCGGCTGATTATTATCGACCATTTCTGCCAAGCTGAATATTCATGAGGTGGAGTTCTTTTGTATGGCCGATTCCGATATAATATAATAATATTATTACATAGACATAACTATAGCCTATAGGCGTGGTCGGAGTACCATAATATTATGACACTACCCCAACGGGTTTGAGATTGACCATGATCGGAACGTAATATATTATTATAATAATGTTATGTACCATGATAATCCAAATGGCTACGCATAACTATTGATTACGTTTAAATTACAAGTAAATAATGTAGACATTTTTTACAAATTGAACGGTTTTAGTTTTTAACTTTGGGATATAATCATTATTATAATGTTTAATCAAGATCGTCAATAATATATAGGTAGTTTATATTATTAGCCGCTTAAAACTAAATTGAAATGTATAATTGTTGTTGTTGTCTTCACTGAATTTATAATATTGGATGGTCCAAAAATTTAAAATAGGATCCATAAACCATAACATCAAAAACATATTTTCATCTGTGAAATAATAATTTAGTATTTTTATGAAATGTCGTTATAGGTATTATGGGAGTAATCCACTTTTTGGAGTGGAACACAAATTACAACTGAACACTCAAACACACATTAAATTATTATCTACATATTATTAAAACTATCCAACGTCCCTTAGATTATACCGTCAATATACCATTTAATTATAGATAGTTAATGCTACCGTGGTTGATAATTTACTAACATAATTAATTGCAATTAAAATGCTGAGAGATAGAAAAAAATTACTCTCATATGGATATTTTGCTTGATTATGTCATAAAAAAAAAATTCAATACTTGATATATTTTATTAAACACTACCTATTTTTTATGGAGATTATTAATTCTTGATTATAAATTGTACATCCCTTTATCATTATATAATTGGAATAAAGCCAATTACAAGCAAATTATTCTAAGATGCTCTCTATGAATTTGGACAATATTGATCAAAATTACAATTTAAATTATAATACAAGTTCATTTTATTCAAAAATGTTCTCAATAATAAATGATTTTGTTCCAATATTTACTACCTTTAATCAATCTATAGTTTTCCTTTATGGTTTAGCTATATATTGATATGTATAAACGAAGAAAAGAAATTAAATCATTTAGCATCTAATTAGTCGAATCATATTAGTGGTTTTATGATATTTTCTAACTTAAGGAAAAAATCTTAAAAACGAAGATACATATTAAACTGTATAGGTTACATAAAATATAACGTGTAAAACTCTATAAATAATAGTCCAAAATATTTTTATGAATTTTTAAAGACAAAGCATCTCAAACTAATTTTTTAAAAATTTGGATTGTTATAATTTGTCTTAAATGTATAAAAAGAATCTTTATAAAATATGCCATTTAATACTCAAACTATTTAATTTTTTTCCTGTATTATTGATATAACACTTACAGACATTTCGATGAACAGGATAAAGCAAATTTAAATAGATATGTTAATTGGTCATGACAATTTTTCAGTCCAATTTTTTTATATTGATGTCGTTTCATTCTTTTATCTACCTGCTATACTTAATCTTTCAACCAATCATTGAAATCGGTTTTATTTCCTACAGTCTCTTATATAGATAAGATTATATATATATACTATATACATTACCACAATTTTTAAGAAAGGTGGTTATACACAGAAATAAAAAACGTTTTTTAATTAATAATGTTTCTAAGAATTATTTACTATCATCACCTGTAAATGTGTAGATTATTGTTATATTATTATAACGAGTTTTGAACATATTATATACTATTTGAATATTATATTGTCATACTGTAATAGTACATCGATCAAATATTACAATATTACGAACACCTACCTCTTTGTACTTTTAGTTAAGTTATTATATTCGTACGGGTGATGATAATACACACTGCGTTGCTCGTCATTAAAACTTAATGTTATCGTTATTGTACCTCAATACTAATATTATAGTCTGTAACTATCAACCGATACCAAACTACCAACAAACACGTTAAGACCATCACGTATATAATATAAATGATTTTGGTAATTTATGCACACTCCCTATACTCCGGTATTTTGTAATCGGTCGACTGGCGTGTTGCGACGGGTAGTAATTTCATCGCCATGGGGTGGGTTTGGCAAAGCGATCGGATCGGTGAGAAAATCTTTGATACCAGCACAATGTGTGTGTGTGTATTATACAATGTATACATTATTATTATAATACAACGGTTGAGCCGCTGATTATTTGCCGGGCGAAGACATATATTCCGCATTAGCATGGTCGCCTCGCACGAAGAAAGGTGGAGAATACGGCAATTGAGAAAATCGAGACCCCACCGTCACGTGGACACGATTTTCCTAGGGCCATTTCGTGTCAGGGTGATGAATGACTGTGAATTTTCTCCGTACATCCCGCGCCGTGCCACATGCAGCACCTCGAGCGTCCTGTCGTGTTAACCGAACGCACTCGTTTTATTTTTTTCCGTTTCTTATATAACACACACACACACACACACACACACACATACACACACACACACACACACACACACCCATTTGTGAAAAACATACAGAGTGTGCTTGTGCGGGCATAATGTCCATTAGTTTTTTTACAGGGTTCTCCTGCGGTGTTCTACTCGACTTGTTTTTTTTCCACCTTTCATTTGTTTTAGCGGGTGCGACAGATGTTCGGGGACAAGATAAAACCGCCGGTTGAATCAGCAAGAGCCGAGACAAATTATTAATCTTGCACAGCTATACCGTCAGTCAAATGTCCATCGCTTTGCATTATATATTGTGCACAGCTAGTGTTATAAATGGCTGAACGGGGTTTTTCCCCAGTTTTTCAACCGTGTTTTTGTTTTTACACGAAAGTGGAGAAACTAAAAATTATTTTCTGACTAAAAGGTTTGTGGAGGCGTACTCCGCCCTCTTATACAATTATGATTTTATATTTGAAAAACCCTTTTCGCTCATAACTCAAATAATCGTACCTACTCTTCATAAAAACGTATATAATATATACGTATACATATTATTTATACCTATTTTTTAAACCTTTTAAACTTTAATGTAGGTTAACAACATTATACTCAATTTTCGCAAACCCATTTTCTACTTACAATCTACATTCTCTCCTTATCATTATACTCAGTTGTTATAGTTTAAAATATAACATATTTTTATATTTTTAGCTGGTTTTTTTTTAATTAGCTAATAACATATTATTGCATTTTTTGTCTCAGCAATCATATATTTTGAATTTTTTATACCCAAAGACTAATTTATTACAACGTTTTCAATAAAAATATAAAATAAACAAGTAAAGTTAAAGAACATAAGAGAGAAAGAAAATTTATTCAACTATAGGTTAAATAAAAAAAAAAACTTATGATAATATAAAAACTATATTTACACTGAAGAAGTCTTGTAATATACGTTTTAAAAAACCAACTTCAAAAACTTACAGACAATTTTTTTCTGAACTAGAATTTAACTATACGTCATACGTGTATACATTTTTTTTTATAATTGTCTTGAATATTTTAACAACTTCACTATTGTTTACTTTTTTATTAGCTTTTGAAAATCTATCAAGTTAGTATATTATATTGTCACTTTCAATTTTCAATCATATGCAGTAAATTGTGAAACATTATTAGAAAATTGATGTTTTATAGTCATTGCAACACATAGAAGGTGTCAAAGGTTTTTTTTTGATCATTAACATATTAAAACCATTTTTATTTATTTATAAAGTACCGATAACTTAAGTTGATCATTTGAAAATACGTAATTTTTTTAAATCGTAAATAATCACATGTCGAATAAACAGATAATTACAATTGAAAAAGATAAATTTTAAAAGATGAAAATATCTAACGACACAAGAAGAAAAAACTATATGATTTATTATTAGGTATTACAAGTTTATAATTTTGTTTATTTTGGTAATTTTCAATAGATATTTATTTTTTGATGTTCCATGATGAGAGGAAAAGTGTCGAAAGTTTGATATTGCTATTGCTATACGCTTTTATTATACTCGACGGTTAATAAAACAAATAAATACACTTTAGTAATGAGAGTCCCACAAAAAATAAGTTCTCAATGATTTAATATTGAATCTTAATTACGCACCTGTCACTCAACTTACTAATGTTTTTTTTTTATATATTTCATTCTAAAATATTAATTTTAGTATGAACTGATGTTATTCAATAAATAAGATAGAATATGGTTTCTTATTGATTTGGTTTTTAAAAATATTTATTTTGACGAATTATTATTTAAATTTATTAGAATACCTATCTAACCATTAAAAATATCAGTATTTCAACCGCTTAAACCTTTGGACTGTGGCCAATTCTGCATAAAATTATTATAGAATAAAACTTTTATTTGGCATAATGCCCATTTAATCACCTCAAGTGGACATCTTAATCTATAGTATAAACCGTTTTACTAAAGAAAAAAAAATTGCAATTCCCGAAGACATTCGGATAAGCATACATAAGCACTTATATATAATTCTCTTTAATAGATTTTTTATTTTTTTTTATTTTATCTTCTTCCTTTAAATACGAACTTTTTTTTCCACGCGTTGGTTTTGCACAACGATTTTAAGACGTTGCATTACATTAAAAAACATTTATTTTAACAGGAGGCATTATTTTTCGGAATAAATTCTACGGTCTATTGATTGTTTTTTGCTTACCTATAGTTGTGAGCGTAAGTGTCGACCAATAAAAACAGTAAATGTACTGTCTAGAAAGCGATGAATTCCTAGCACCTTGCAAGTTGTACACCCAATTATCCGACCCAAACCCGATCACATAGCTTATAGCGAAATATAAGCATGAGTTCCAGTGTATGAGTATGAGTATGGCGAACACCACTTTGCAAATGCGGAACACGTTTGGATACCCGGTTTTGGTTTCTGTGCGGTCGAAGAATTCCAGCATCCTCGGTACTCGGAGCAGTCGATTGGCACGGACGATCACAGGACAGGGCAGGACGTCTGCCGAACAGCTGCCCGACGGCCACCACAAGTACGCCAGGTCGGTGGGAAGCAGACTCAGGAAGTCTGATTTCCATTTGGACGTGCTGAAGTAGTTTTCCCTCAGCTTATGAGAATTGCGGACCATGAGACCTTGGTCCAGGAAACCTGAAAACAATATCAATAACGGTGCTCGTTAATAAACGATATGACTATTATTATTTGAAACGGATGGCTGTCGAACTATAAAAGTATAAAATGAAGAGCACCCGCAAAAATGTGTAATGAACAATTTCTTTAACGACCCAATTCTTATTTCCTAATAATTGAACCACGCCATTTTTAACACCATCGAATAGCTATATATTTACACTGGAACTTATATTACAGTCAATCGATGAACGCATTTTGAAAATTATTATTTCCGATGGAGAATAAAGATATTACGACGAAATTATGTTGAATCTGTATCCTGTGAAGTTGGTATTATGGATACTCGAGTTCTTGTTTTGAATAATATCCAAATCATTGTCTTTATAGAATAAACTAAACTTTTGATTTTAAGCGTAGTCATACAATGATGGCTCAGGGCGGCGTACATTAATTTTATAAGGAAGTCGAAGTTTACGCTATTACCGTTAGTGGCTTATCGATTTTGTTTTTTTTTACGTAGATATAAAATCCATTAAATTTAAAATAAATTAGTAATCATTGTGTTAACAAAGTAAATAAGACAAGAAAATAATCACGTCAACAGAATGACACTCAGCCGACATGGAGACATCTACCAAACTTATAAGCACTTATCCAACTAAAAAAAATCCATGAACTAATCTTGAATATGTGGTGTGGTGAGACGTACGTGTTTTATTGCAATTTTATTTTGTTTAAGTATAAGTCCGGTCCGATTTTTTTCGAACCACCAGTGTACATTACCTGGCAGTGAGTTGAAAGATAATCGTTTGATTAGTAGATTATTGCCACGAGAGTTTACAGCTACACGATTTCGTTACGGGTATACGTATTTTTACATATTTATGGAGCTTTTTGTAAAATACCAGGCAGAAGAGGTTATATAATATGTCACAGGCAGAGATTTCGTTTATAAATCGTAATCGCGCGTTGAAAAATCGTAATACTTTATGCATAATATTGTGCACGGCCATCGTTATTCGGTGCACGTCATCTTGGCGTTTATTTCGACGAACTATACACACCGGAATTCAAAAACAAAACCCACCGCTGTTGCACGTTTATAAAATATGTATATACAATATACATATATGTATATTGCATCCTAAGTTATTATAATAAATGTTATGCAACCGTTTCAATAATAATAGCACGTCGTCCGCAATTGAATTTCCAGATGGATCGGAAAGGACTCGATGATATTATAATAAACAGGTATTGTGTGCTATGGATAATGTACACATGTTCATTGTGTTACCTGTCGTCGTGCGGTGATGACGGCGTACGATATATTATAATAAGTAATGACACATCGCGTCGAAAGCACGACTACGACGTATAAAGATGGATTTGGATTTTTTTTTTCTTTTCGATTTCGTACTTACGGTTATCGTCGTCCGGTTTGTATGGAAACGGTATAGTGAAGGGCCACTGTGGAGCGTGGGAGGTGGTGCGCCTCAGTGGGTTATTTATTTATTTTTTATTCCGGTGTATAAAATACGGCACCGCAAGTTGGTCGAAGGTTTGCAAGCATATTATTATTATTATTATTATTATTATTATTTTTGCCCGGCACTCTGCAGCAGTGTATTGTGTGAATGTTTAGGCAAAAACGATCGTACGCACACACACCCACCCACACCCACCCACCCACGAGCGAATATATATATATATATATATCAGAGAGTCCTATTAATATTTACGAGACCTTAACGTATAACGTATCCAAACCACCCCGCCGCCTCATATATATGTATATAATATCGTATATATGTATATAAAATACTAGTCGCCAAACGTATCGGTCCCCGAACGTTATTAATGATGTCCCCCGGAACTCGTTGGGACCGGATGTAGTAAATAAAAGTGCGTGCGCGCGTTTTATTTCCCAGTGTGATTTACTGCCGTTCGTCCCGCGCGTCAGTTACACATAAATATAGTGTCCGCGCGAAAGGAATCGGCTCTTTTCCTCCCTCCCCCCTCCCCGTGTTGTGTGTGTGTGTGGGGGGGGGAAGACCGCTTCCACGGTCCGCGCGTCCGCTGAGAGCGAGAAATTTGTCGCACTTGGCGGCCGAATCGCCCGGAAAAATGTTGTCGCGATGCCGCCCGATCAGGCGGCGTGTGTGGTGTCCACGGCCGGGTGAGCCGATGTACGTGCCGCACACGCAGACACGTACAACGAACGAATGACGTACGAGTACAATGCCATCACAGCGCCGTGTCCGAATTCTTAGGGAAATCGATTTTTCACGCGCACGCACACAATAACGAGTCGGCGATATGATTGTCCGCGGCGCACTTGAACACATCGATCGACGGCCTGCGGCGTATATTTTGTGTGATTTTGCGCGCGTAAAAAAGAAAAATGTCGGGTACCGCACGGACGACGTGGGCGCGACTTACAGGTACATGGAAAACGATGTTCTCGCCTCCGAGCTTAAAACACGAGACTGTTGGGGGGGGGGGGGGTGCAGCTCGATATTTTTGGAAACACTTTCGGGTACGTCACATCGATGGTTACCGAGTACGGTTATATGTAACACGAATTCTGGAAAAAAAGCCCCCCAACAATTTTTTAATATAAATGTGAATACATGTATACCTACATGATATATTAAGTTATAATTTATAATTATAAATTATCTCATATTGAGTCATTGGGTAGTTAATAATATATTATGTAGAACCTACGGTCAAAAAGTATCAGTCTTAGCTGTATAATGAACTACTACATTCATACAAAAATTGCACAACTATAAAAATAATAATTTAATAAGTCAATTATGGAAAACCGGTGGTAGTGATAATACTAGTTCGTTGCTAAAGTTTAATAAAATAAGAGGATGGATACACAACGATGGATCTTCTATTTATTTATTTCTTTTTTTGTTAATTCATCTTAGTAACATCAGCTGCTAAGTCCTTAGTATTATTACTATGTGTTATCTATATTATGTACTATTAAGAACTGTTGTATTATGCTTTTTATAATAATAATCAACAAAATATTTTTAAAATATAAAATAGTACAATTGTTTGGCACTCCCATGGAGTTTTATTTCCTTGAGCTTTCTTCCGTTGAATTCATTTTCTAGGCTTTTACCCCGTCTACCTTTTAATACAGGTATCTACTACTTCACGTCGGTTGGTGTTGCGTACTGTTACCATGGATATGTAGCCTTCAACAATGATTTACAATTTTAAACAATTTTGAAAACGATAACCGCAGATGAATATAAAGTGGACAGAGATGTGACAGAATGTTTATCTATCATCATTGGTACACGATTAAATGGTAGATTAGGTAAAAGAAATCGTCATGTGTAAGTGTTGGTTGTTAAACAATAATACTATATTAATACTAGAAATAAAATAAAATTGAAAACTTATTGGACTATTACGCAAGTACATGAAAAACATCACAAAAATATTGTTGAGAGGCGATTTAGAGCCAACCCAGCGTAGTGTCTCTTGGGAGTACTATATAACGCTCACATCGAAATTAAATTGTTTAAAAGTAATATCAAATTATTATGATACAAAATAATACGTCGGCTATAAATTAAACATTTAACACACACAAATACGTGTAATTGTACGCGTCATGATTTGCCCAAATATATTACGCCGAAACGGTTAAATTCGTCACCAATATGACATTAAATTACCAACGACGTAGATACGATTTGGTTTTTTGCAAGGGGTTTATATTATATTTTTCATGTTTAACTCATCAATAATGAAAAATGTATATTTATAATTCAAATTAAATGTTACTGCTGTTACTTATAAGTTATAATGCTTTTAATTATAGTAAAATATTTATAATGTTTTTGGTTTTATCTCACTTTTTATTTATATTTTTTTGTCTCGGCCTATGTTTAATTGATTTTCTATACGCAAGCTTGGCTTATTTTTCATTTTTAAAAAGTATCATTCTTTTCTCTGGGATATTTAACACAATGGGTTTTAATAAGAAATTTAAATAAGGTACGTGATATTATTAAATATGTAAAACTTTAAATATAATATTATATAAAAACAAAATTCCATTATAGACTGCAGTCATTTTTCTGTCATGATTAATTTGGAAATTGAATAAATCAAAAGCTATTATATAAGTCACTACCACTAGGCACCTATTGTATTAGTTGACACAAAAAGTAGATGATACAATCAGTCGATGTCAAACAGACCCGCGATCAGCCAAATATTTAGGCAGGAACTACAAATTAAAATATGATGCGTAGGAACAGATGTTTGGCAAATATATTAACAAAATCATAAGCTAATGGGTCACACCACATCTGAGAGACACAATCTTCCACAAAATAATTATGATTGTATATTCTTTCACATAGCTCCATGTCCCCAGCACCCCCACCTCTAAATTTTGACTCGAAACCTATACTAATCGTTTGTACCTTGTTTGTACCTGTTTGTACCCCAAGTAAAATCGTTTGTACCTCAACTGTTTTCAAACTGTCCCTACTTCGATTTTGGGGATGCCGAGCAAACGGTGGCACCCCCACCCCCATCGCATAGCTAAGTGCGGTGGTACTAACTTTGCAGATGTATATTATTGGTAGGAACAATCTTTCTCAATTCACAAACCATCGGATATGACAAAACTGATAGGTATTATCACAATACAATATTACACTCTAATCAATTCTGTGGTCGATTTATTTTGTCATGCTCACGACAAACGACAAGTACCATTATATTGTATAAAAAAAATTTTTCTTCAAAATAACAAAAGCAACAAACAAAACTTGTTTTATAAAAACTTGTCTTAATATGAGTACCTATTATATAAAACATATAATCAAGTATATGAAAAAAATAATTTTATAATAATATTTTTATTTCTCCTGAAAAAAATGATCTCATTACGACATATTACTTCTTCACCGACGTTACGATACATTATAATATTATATTATTTCTTGGGTATATTTATCCGGTTTAATGCT